GTAGAGAGAAAGACAGAGAGAGAAAAGGATGACTATGAGAGGAAAATGATGAGAGGGAGAGAGAAAAGAGATAGATGCACTTCAAAGAGGCAAACAATAGACACCATAATCACAGGAAGTCAAACACACAACAACAACACACACAGAACAAAATGAGAATTCTCTCGTCATGACTTAAATAAAAAAGTCTCATCTGGTATATAAAACTCACAATGTAGTCTGTGAGTGTATGTAAAAGTCTGTCACCAGTCTCACTCTAGCCCCACAACAAAAAAAAACAAAACAAAACCCTCTAGAAATACTTGAGAATATCGTAACATCTCCCACCTCAGAATAATACTTGAATACGTAACATCTTCTCCTCCTGATATAACCACTTGAGAATCATCAAAATATCTCCCACCTTGATGTAATACTTGAGAATATCGTAATATCTTCCTCCTTGATATAATACTTGAGAATATCGTAATATCTCCACACCATGCAATATCAATAACATTGTAATATCTCCCTCCTTAATGTAATACTTCGATAATATTGTAACATCCCCCCTGATGTAATACTTATAGAATATCGTAATATCTCCTACCTTTATTATAAAATTGATACATGAACATCTCCTCCTTGATATAATACTTCTAGAATATCGCAAAATATTCCCCACCTGATATAATACTGAAACACAAATATCTCCACTTATAAATACTTGAGAATATCGAATATCTCCCACCTTGATGTAATAATTAGACATTGTAACATTCCCTTGATATAATACTTAGAATATTGCACATTCTCCTATGTAATAAACTTTAGAATATCGTACATTCCTCCTTAATAATACTTGAGAATATCGTAATATCTCACCTTGATATAATACTTTAACAATGTAATATCTCCTCCTCTGATAAATACCTGAAAATATTAAACATCTCCTCCTGATATAATACTTGAGAATATTGTAATATCTCCCACTGATGTAATATTGAGAATACCGCAAAATCTCCCTTGATGTAATACACGGAATATTGTAACATCTCCCACCCAGATGTACATTATAGAATATTTAAAATTCTTTCGGTGATAATGTTTTTGTGGTATTAAAGTAACAACTTAAATCAGTCCTTTAGAGGAAATTGAAAATTTGAGAATTTTTTAAAATAATTTCGCTTTTAAAAAAAGTTCAGTATGTAAGGCATAAAGTTGCTATTGCCATGTATGGTGAGAATGGTGATAGTTACTACCTTTAATGAGTAACCTTTATACGTCAACAGTCAGTAAATAGTGAGTATGTTGAATGACAGCTTACACCTTAAACAAATTACGACTATGTTCCAGGAGTCAACTATCCTGTACTGATGGTAACCATTAATAGTTACTTCCTGTATGGTATGGTGATGTAGTAATCACGTATGAGATAGTAACATTGCCTGTATAGTGATATGAGTGATAGTTACGCCCAAATGTAACAAATCTGAGTATATATATAGTAACCTGTATAGTGAGTAATGATAGTAATCATTCATGGTGAATATGGTGATAGTAACTGTCTGTATGGTGAGTATGGTGATAAAACTCTGTATGTAAGATAGGGACGAGGTACAGAGCAGCACACGGTTGGTTACCACCTGCTACCTTCCTCTAACTGTTCCACCCTCAGTCAGCTGCGCCCTTCCTCGCTCCACTGCCCCTCACCCACCCACCCACCCACACACACCCACCCACACCTTTACACCACACCCACCAACGCCCATCACACCCACACACACCACGCCCACAACCACCACTATTAACACCCACTACACCCATAATTCCCACGCATATGTACCTGCCCAACCCCACATATTACAACGCCCATTCACACCTACGCCCACAGAATAACCATCAACACCACGCACACACACCACGCCCACACCCATCACTATTAACACTACTACACCCATTAACACCCACATCCACACCTGTCCACCAACACCCACACACCCCAACGCCCACAACACCAACACCCTCACACCCACCGCCCACCAACACCTCTACACCCACCACACACCCCAACACCCTCCACCCACAGCCCACCAACACCCCACACCCACACCCCACCAACACCCCCACACCCACCACCCACCAACACCTCACACCCACCGCCCACCAACACCCTACACCCACCGCCCACCAACACCCTCTACACCCACCACCCACCAACACCCCTCTACACCCACCACCCCACCAACACCCTACACCCACCGCCCACCAACACCATCTACACCCACCCCCCACACCTCACACCCACCACCACCAACACCCTACACCCACCACCACCCTCTACACCCACCGCCCACCAACACCCTCTACACCCACCACCCACCAACACTCTACACCCACCGCCCACCAACACCCCCTCCACCCACCGCCCACCAACACCATCTACACCCACCACCCACCACATCCTCTACCACCACCCACCAACACTTCTACACCCACCGCCCACCAACACCTCCATACCCACCGCCCACCAACACTCTCTACACTCCACCACCCAACATCCTTCTACACCCACGCCCACCAACACCCTCTACACCCACCGCCCACCAACACCCTCTCCACCCAACACCCACCAACACCATCAACCCACCACCCACCAACACATCTACACCCACCACCCATTTCCTTCAATCAACCATTTTTTTCCGATGCCTCAAAGCACCGGTGACAATTGTCTTCAAACTAACGGAAATAACTGAAAAAATAATGATGAAAAAAATATTGGAACCGTTGCCTTGGTTTATTTTCTCTGAATCAGTCGTTCATTCTTTGTTTTTATTTCGTTCAGGTAGTGTTGGTGCTTACTGTCTTGACATAGTGACCACAGGCTTAAGTGCTTAACGTTTACCTTTGGTCACAGGAACGTTTTTTTGACCCACTTGTGAGTGAAATAATGTTTTGTGGTTTATTAAGATACTCTACAAAGGTTAGGTTAGTTCTTTTTCTCCCCATTATTATTATTATTATTATTATTATTATTATTATTATTATTATTATTATTATTATCATCATCTTAAATAATCTTGAAATTTAAAATAAATTTCTGATGATTTCAACAATACAGAAAGGAATCCGTGTGTGTGTGTGTGTGTGTGTGTGTGTGTGTGTGCGTGTGTGTGTGTGTGTGTGTGTGTGTGTGTGTGTGTGTGTGATGGGCTCCAGATAAGACTACTGAAAGTCATCGTTATGAAGCATTTATAACTGATAACGATAATTACTACGACTATTATGTTAAGAGATTGTTATAATGTTGATAAGAAATGTTTTGTATTCAATTTTATTGCATATCTCTATAATGCATGTTTACGATAATTGTTTAAATGTTTACGATAAATTGTTCCCGGTTTGGTTTTCAATGTCTGTTTATGTCAAATGTTTAAGAGATATGTTTACAATAGATATTTTACGATATGTTTAGGATAAATATTACAAATAGTTATGTGTTATAGGTTTACAACGTATATTTATATTATCTGTTTACAATAAATATTTACTTAGAGTTTACGATAAATATTTGCGATCAATGTACAGATATTACAATATTTTTTTACGATAGATTAATGTCTACGATAATTATTTACGATTATTGTTTACGACACGTGTTTACGGTCAACCTTAAGTGGTGCGTTAACCAGGAGGTACAGCACTTCCTGGTTAACGGTACACTTCACGATACCCTGTACGGCGTTAATCATTGTCAACAGTGAGTTAAGACGCTGAACAATTAACTCTCCCAACACCTGTATATTCCTACCTGAGTCTGTCTCTTCCAGGACCTTTAAATTATCTCTTCTCTCAAGCTGGTGAGGTGAGAATACGGTGAAACCTTTATATAACGGACTTCTCTCCGTATAATGAGTTAGATGGGGGCTTCACATCTAACAGACCCTCGATATAATGGACTTTTCTTTCCATATAGTCCGTTAAATAGAGGTTTTACTGAAGCTTGGGATTTGAGAATATCATTACATGCCTCTCTCTTAAGCTTGGGCATTTTAGAGGACTTGTAACTGTTTTAGGTTAAGCTGGTCATGGGAAAGCGTGTTCAACAGGTTCAATTAAGCTTTGATGTAAGTATGACTCCTACTGTTTAAATTAAGCTTGTGATACTAGAACGCCTCTAAAGAGCTAAATTAAGCATGATGTAAGATCGCCTTTAAATAGCTGAATTAAGCTTGATGTAAAACCCTTCCCAGACTACACTCCACCATTATGGAATATTTTACAACATCTTAATCTAGGAAACCAAAACAAAAACAGACGTGCGTTCTGACTTACAAACCGGATACATTACGGTGCTGGATTAACCCAGATATGATTGACAAAAGGCTCTCTGACATGACACGTTATCTGTCATGCTCTTCTCATATCATGGATACGAGCGTAACTGAAGCCATTACAGGATAATAACAGTATAATGGTTGTTATTCTTGATTAATGGTTGTTATTATTCTGTCCCGTTGTCTAATACTGAATAAGGTTGTTTATTTCATTACCATCTGAATTACAATGAGATTTATGTATGTTAAATGGTTTAGTTGTATGTATGTTGGTTTATCATTCCGATAGTGTTATAGGTGATTAGTGATAATTCTGTTTAATTACTGTGTCGGTGCATCAAAATATAGTCTAATGTTGCACCTGTAATGTACAGTCCCCTTCACTAGTGCGTTTACAGGAGCTCGTCATATAAACATTCCACAAATCAGTATCATCGAGATATTTGTTTTAATAATGTTTTAATTTGATTCCATAGTATGCTTACTATTGAGTTCCCGTCTGTTGAATGTAAACAAACACAGCGCTGCCACACTGCACAAAACCTGACGAGCCCCTGTCAACGCACTAGTGAAGGGAACTGTACGTATTGTGTTAGTGCGCCTTCATGCAGCTACAATGCCCTAATAATGTAAACAACAATATCATGACGTCACTACAGGTGTTTTTTCTCCCTCGAACAGATGTGCTCGCGGACCTTACTGCTGTCCGGGACTCTACTCGTCCTCATCGCAGCTGTGTATGGTGAGTGACCTCGACTTAGGCATTTGTCACGTAATTATTACTAGTCGTTACTCTACTCTCAGCTACTCATGGCTGTCTTAGTCTCTGTTTATGATTTATTCATTGATAGTTTGTTAGAACTCACCTTATCTAACCTAACCAACCTAACCTAACATAACCTAGACAAACCTAACATAACCTAATCCAACCAAACCAAACCTAACCTAACTTAACCTACCCCTTGAGGTAGTAACTTGCACGTGCTTAAGTCCCCCTTCTAAATATAAACTTACATTTTCTCTCACATATAAATTTACGTTTTCTATAAATCCAGCCAATGTTCTCAATGTCCAATGTCAATATTTTTCTTTCTTCATAAATTGTTACCTCTTGTTCCCTTTTATTGTATTTATTATTTATAATCTAAATATTTTGTTATTCAAGGCTGTTTTTATGTTCATTTTCATATTTATTTTACAAGGTCAGAGTTTATGGAGTATCAATTCAATGTTTGTTCATACATGCTCTGATGTCCAACTATGTGCTTGTGTGTGCGTTTTACCAAGAGCTTGTATGGATGCTTCTAAATTTGTATTGTACTGTGTGTAATCTGTATTAATTATAACAATATTTTTTTACAAACTTTATAGCATTTGATTGTTCTTATTGGAAAAACTAATATAAAATATGATAATGAATTCCACTGTACTGTATATGAAAACTGACTCGAGACAAATACAGTCACGGTCAACAAGTTCTGTCGCCTCTCCTGAACCACGAACCCCGAGAAAAATTCAGACTCGTGAACCAGAAGCCGTTAGACACTGATCCATTATTATTACGAGTCTGAATCTTTCTCGGGATTCGTGGTTCAGGACTTTTCACCATGATTGGACTGTACCTCTATTTCCACGTCCACTGCCTCAAGGACTTAATGACTAATCGTTTAAGAAACATTTAGGAAGAGTCACAGAGAGAGAGAAGGTGATCACTGGACCGTCACACCGGATATTACTCTGAGGGTGGCGGCGAGGTGCTGAAGGAGGTGTGTGTGTGTGTGTGCGATGCTCTCTCTCTCTCTCTCTCTCTCTCTCTCCTTCCCTCTCCTTGCCTCTCCTTCCCTCTCCCTCCTTCTTCCTTGCCCCCTTCCCTCTTCCTCTTTTCTCCTCCCTCCCTTCCCTCTCCTTTTCCCTCCTGCATTTTCCCTTCCTCTCCCTCCCTTCCCTTCCCTCTCCCCCTGTCCCTCTTCCTCCTTCCCTCCCTCCCCTCCCTTCCCTCTCTCTCCCTCCCTTCCCTTTCCCCTCCACCCTATTCCCTTCCTCTCCTTCCTCTCTCTCCCTCCTTTTCGTCTCTCTCCTTCCCTTCCCTCTCACTCCCCTCCCTTCCCTTTATTTCCTGTTCCCTCTTCCTCCTTCCTTCCTCTCCCTCCTTCCCCCTCTCTCTCCCTCCCTTCCCTTCCTCCCCCCATCCCTCTTCCTCCTTCTCCCTCTCTCCCCCCTACCTCCCTGCCCTCCCTTGTATCACTAGCATGGTCACCAAAGGAGGTTCTCACACCCCGGTACACTCCATGTCTGGTGAACATAATACCGCCACCATGCCATCTCCTCGCCCCGCTGCTGCCATGATATTAAACCATTTAATACTTCACTCACCGCACGAGCCCTTGATGAGTATACACTTCCTGGACCACTAGTCTCTTTTTTCCTCCCTCCTCTTCCTCTTCCTCTTCCTCTTCCTCTTCCTCTTCCTCATTTTCCTTCTACACGTCTTCTTTCTGTTCTTCTTTCTCCTCCTCTTCCTTCCCATTCTCCTCCTCCTCTGATTTTTCTTTCATCTTGCTCCTATCATCATCATCAATATTCACTTACTATTTATCTCTCTCATTTCTTAGATTCACCTTACCTGCCCATATATTACAGGTAAAGGCTTAATTGGATAGCTGAAAGGTGTTTATTAAGATATACTGTATATAAGTTTCACAGATATGTTATTGCAGGTGTGTTTCAGTGATTCAGTGTTTCAATAGCTCAGTGTTTCAGTGCTTCAGTATTTCAATAGCTCAATGTTTCAGTTGCTTAGTGTTTCAATACCCCAGTGTTTCAGTATCTCAGTGTTTCAGTAGCTTAGTCTTTCAGTAGCTTAGTGTTTCAATAGCTCAGTGCTTCAGTGTTTCAGTAGCTCAGTGTTTCAGTAGCTCAGTGCTTCAGTAGTTCAGTGTTTCAGTAGCTCAGGGTTTCGGTGCTTTAGTGTTTCAGTAGCTCAGTGTTTCAGTAGCTCAGTGTTTCAGTGCTTCAGTGCTTCAGTAGCTCAGTGTTTCAGTAGCTCAGTGTTTCAGTAACTCAGTGTTTCAGTAGCTTATTGTTTCAGTTGCTTAGTGTTTCAGTAGCTCAGTGTTTCAGTAGCTCATTGTTTCAATTGCTCAGTGTTTCAGTAGCTCAGTGTTTCAGTAGCTCGTTGTTTCAGTTGCCCTGTGTTTCAGTAGCTCATTGTTTCGGTGCTTCAGTGTTTCAGTAGCTCAGTGTTTCAGTAGCTCAGTGTTTCAGTAGCTCAATGTTTCAGTAGCTTAGTGTTTCAGTAGCTTAGTGTTTCAGTAGCTCAGTGTTTCAGTAGCTCAGTGTTTCAGTAGCTCAGTGTTTCAATGTCCAGTGTTTCAATAGCAGATGTTTCCAAGTAGTGTTTCGGTATCAGTGTTTCAGTAGCTCAGTGTTTCAGAAGCTCAGTGTTTCAGTAGCTTAGTGTTTCAGTTGCTCAGTGTTTCAGTAGCTCAGTGTTTCAGTAGCTCAGTATTTCAGTAGCTTAGTGTTTCAGTAGCTTAGTATTTCAGTAGCTCAGTATTTCGGTGCTTCAGTGTTTCAGTAGCTCAGTGTTTCAGTAGCTTAGTGTTTCAGTAGCTTAGTATTTCAGTAGCTCAGTGTTTCAGTGCTTCAGTAGCTCAGTGTTTACCGGGGGAAAGGTAGACTCGTTCCTGATGATACAGTGCACTGAAGTCTTGTAGTCTGTATGGTAGCCGTAGTATTAGTGTGGTTCAGTCTTGTAGTCTGTATGGTAGCCGTAGTATTAGTGTGGTTCAGTCTTGTAGTCTGTATGGTAGCCGTAGTATTAGTGTGGTTCAGTCTTGTAGTCTGTATGGTAGCCGTAGTATTAGTGTGGTTCAGTCTTGTAGTCTGTATGGTATTAGTGTGGTTCAGTCTTGTAGTCTGTATGGTAGCCGTAGTATTAGTGTGGTTCAGTCTTGTAGTCTGTATGGTAGCCGTAGTATTAGTGTGGTTCAGTCTTGTAGTCTGTATGGTAGCCGTAGTATTAGTGTGGTTCAGTCTTGTAGTCTGTATGGTAGCCGTAGTATTAGTGTGGTTCAGTCTTGTAGTCTGTATGGTAGCCGTAGTATTAGTCTTGTAGGTTATTAGTGTGGTTCAGTCTTGTAGTCTGTATGGTAGCCGTAGTATTAGTGTGGTTCAGTCTTGTAGTCCGTAGTATGGTAGCTTGTAGTCTGTATTAGTAGTAGTGTGGTTCAGTCTTATAGTAGTATGGTAGCCGTAGTATTGGTGTGGTTCAGTCTTGTAGTCTGTATGGTAGCCGTAGTATTAGTGTGGTTCAGTCTTGTAGTCTGTATGGTAGCCGTAGTATTAGTGTGGTTCAGTCTTGTAGTCTGTATGGTAGCCGTAGTATTAGTGTGGTTCAGTCTTGTAGTCTGTATGGTAGCCGTAGTATTAGTGTGGTTCAGTCTTGTAGTCTGTATGGTAGCCGTAGTATTAGTGTGGTTCAGTCTTGTAGTCTGTATGGTAGCCGTAGTATTAGTGTGGTTCAAATATATAGTATTTATGGTGATCGTGCACAGAGCCTCAGACTGTCCCGGATATCCTTGATAAAAGCCACAACATCCGGGAGGCCACTTAGAGTTATACTGCAGCGTTACGGCCAAGGACCCACAACCACTCACCCAACTCTGGGATGTAACGTGACAAACTGGAGTGTATAATACGGGGTCATCACACCCAAGAGGATGGTGATTCTCTTTAGTGATGGTGAAGATGATGGTGAAGATTATGGTGAAATGATGATGGTGAAGATTAATCACTACTGGTGAAGGTGATGGTGAAGATGATGGTGAAGATTATGGTGAAGATTCATCTTTAATGGTGAAGATGATGGTGAATATTTATCTCCACTGGTGAAGATTATGGTGAAGATTTATCTCTACTGGTGAGAATATTATGGTGAAGACAATGGTGAAGATAATGGTGAAGATTCATCTCTAATGGTGAAGATGATATATGGATTCACCTGAGTTATGGTGAAGATCGACCAGACTTCCTGTAGCGTCAAACTATCCCCGGACAACTACTGTACCTCCACGGTGGCTGGTCTACACGCCTCATGCCCACCAACCCTCATTATCACTTACCAGAGCGAGACTCTCCAGGATAATATATTGCAATGATCCACTCGTCCGTGGCGAGGAAGACGAGCACTGACCTCTGTTATTTCATGCATCATATATTATTTTCACTTTTTTAGAGGAATTTCCATTTTACTTTGTGTGTGTGTGTGTGTGTGTGTGTGTGTGTGTGTGTGTGTGTGTGTTTCTTATATCGGCCTTGTTCTGTCAACTCTATTATCCATCAACAATATTAAAAAAAAATCATCTCACTTGACAGGAGAAACAGCGTTCGAGAAACTGACTGAGCTGGACTACCGCGGCTCCACCTACTACACCATCAGGAACCTGTCGCTGTGGGAGTGCCAAGGATGGTGCCGGGAAGAACCAGAGTGTGCCGCCGCCTCCTTCAGGTAGGTACTCTCCCCCTCTACACAAAAGCAGACAATACTGCTACCTGTCTCCATTCTCTCATACGTTCGAACGATTTGTCTTAATTTTAATTGATCTTAGAATCATTGAGGTTCCACTTGTCCATATTATTGTCTACTCCTAAGATGCTGTGACTGGAATGTCTAAGTCAATCACTTCTATATATTTCACGGAATTTGTTTACAAGCTGTGGTACTCTGTTATATAATATTAAACAGTTATGATTGTTATTTTCCGCTTCCCAGACCCTAATTTGCAGGACACCAGAACTAAAACATTATCAGTAAATTTCATCAATAACGTTATTTACTTGTACAGTCGCGTGCATTTATACCTGGCATTTTGTGAGATGTGGCAACACTGTGTTTGTTTATCTATCATCCTTAGTCTGGCTATTTTTGTAAGGTTCCTTAGAATCCATTCAGGGAGTTTTAATACGATGTAAACAGATACAGAGTTGCCACATGTCATAAACGCACCAGCCACTGTACAGTCACCCACAAAAATCCGATCGCATCTTCTCCTGAACCACGAACCCCAGAAATTCAGACTCGTGAACCTGAAACAGAAGCCTGGTCCATTATTCTGTCCACAATGCTTCGGAATCACGAACCTGATTCTCTCGAGGGCTCGTAGTTCGGGAGGAGAGACGACAGGACTTTTGAGGGTGACGTCTAAATACAGGACCTAAAACATCACTTTTGGTCTTGCCTCAATCCTAAGTTCTCTCTCGTCTCCTCCTGCAGCTTCGTCATGAACCCCCTAGCACCGGTACAGGAGACGCTGTGTCTACTACAGAACGAGACGATGGCCACCAACCCATCGACTCAACCTCAGCGGGCCGTCTCCCTCTATTACATGGTGAAGCTCTCCGTCAGAAGTGGTGAGTACTGAAGGGGCAGGTAGTGATAGTAGCGGTTGTGGTGATGGTGGTGTCAATTTAAGACGATTTACGTGTTTTTGAGAAATAATTTAGTAACCTGGTGGACATTTAAATACTGATCCAGTCAACTACTACAAGATGACTCGTTGTTGTTGTGTTCACGGTTAAACTTCTTGTACAGGTGTTTTTGGTCATCCCTTCCAGCGGTCCCTTTAAAAAGAAATAAAACCTTCGTTACTCTTCATTTTACGGTTCATTACATTATTTCCCAGAGATTAACTGTTGAATTATAATGTTGCTCTTATAGTACCAACTCTCACACGATGTTAACAAAGTAAATGAAACAGTTTATAAGTTTCACGTTTTATGTGTATTAAAAAGTCAACTTTGCATCAGAACTGTGACGTAGTATGTTCCTCAAGAAGTAGAGGCTGAAATAAAGTGTTTTAGAAAGCACTTGCAGGTTTTATGTCTCCACTGTGATGGACCAATGGTTACTGAGTTTCAATGTTTACGTAGGATGGAAAAACGAGGGAAGGGAGGGACATTGTGGACGAGAAGTGCAAGATATGGACGAGGTGGAGAATGATAACCTTCGACTAGTGAGCTTACACAGAGTAAAATGTGTGGTGAAGGAGAATGACGGGTGTTGTGCTGTTGGGGGGAGGTGGGGATTATGGGAGGTGTGGGGGGTGTATGGGTGGTGTGGGTGGTGTAGGGGAGGTGTGGGAGGAGGAATGGGAAGAGAAGGAGGAGCAGGAAGTGTTGGAGGTGATGAAAAGAAAAAAAGAAGAGAGAAAGAGAGAGAGAGATGATGAGCAAATGATAGTAATAAAACAGTCGCCACTATCTTCACTATAATCTCTTAAGACACCATACCAAGAGGTTAGGTGATGGTGAAGAGAGGTGAAACAGAGGTCGAGCGGTGAGGTCATGGAGGTCAGGTAATGTGTGAGAGAGGCCGTCAACTCTGCTGCATTACAGGACACTTTGTTAACACTCACACAATTATCGCCTTTGCCAATTGAGTGTGTACAATACCGGCACATTTACCACTGACTCGGTCAATAGTGATGTGTGGTGCTGGGGTGTGTGGTGCTGGGGTGTGTGGTGCTGGGGTGTGTGATGCTGGGGTGTGTGGTGCTGGGGTGTGTGGTGTGAGGTGTGTGGTGCTGGGGTGTGTGTGTGCTGAGGTGTGTGGTGCTGAGGGTGTGTGCTGGGGTGTGTGGTGCTGGGGTGTGTGGTGCTGGGGTGTGTGTGTGCTGGGGTGTGGTGCTGGGGTGTGTGGCTGGTGGTGTGGTGTGGGGTGTGTGATGCTGGAGACCGACCTGGGGATGGGAATGTGTGTATATATATATATATATATATATATATATATATATATATATATATATATATATATATATATATATATATATATATATATATATATATCCTTAACTAACCATCTCTGGTAATTCCACTTCATGTTGATTTATTTATTTTTTTATTGAGAGACAGTTTCTATCTCACCGCTTTCCTTCCTTCCTTCCTTCCTTCCTTCCTTTTCACCTGTCATCCATCTTTCCTCACCACCAAATACTTCTTTCTTTAGTCTTGTTTACTGTACACCTTTACCGTAATTCCCTCACACCTGTTTATATTATCATCTACAGTGAAACCTCCATATAACGGACTAATCTCTTTATATAATCCCTTACACGGGGGTTTCTCATCTAAAGAACCCTCGATATAACGGACTTTCTTCTCCATATAGTCCGTTAAATAGAAGTTTTTCACTGTAAATTCAATGACAATGACTGATGACGGCGCGTGAAACATTTCCCAGGCCTTCGTTCAGAGTCAGTTCAATATTGACTGTAGCTGAAATAGTTGACTCAGCGGCAGCCAGTGTCAGCGGGTACAGGAGTGGTGGACGGTGATGAGGAACGTCCACAACAACACCCCCCTTCAACCCCACACCCCTACCCCACACCCATGCCCTCCCCCACACCCCTTCACCACATCTCCAACCCTCCCCCACACCCCTTCACCACATCCCACCCTCCCCACCCCACCTCACCACCAGCCTCCCACACCCCTTCACACATCCCATCCCAACCCTCCCCCCTCCCCCACACCCTTCACCACATCCCAAGCCCTCCCCCACCCCTTCACACATCCCCAGCCCTCCCCACCCACCCATCCCCAACCCTCCCCCACCCTTCACCACCTTTCCACCTTCTCTCCCATTCCCCTACCCCCCCCAGAACTCACGTGACAGAACAGTTATGTCAACTTTTAGGGAAAATAATACCAAAATCATTGTTGTTGTCTCACACATTGTAGAGACAAGACGCTACCAACACATTTACGTCTATTGATGTCAGTGAGGGAGAAGAATGAAGGTGGGAGAAGTGTGGGAGGTGTAGAAGGAGTGTGAGAGGTGTGGAACAGGTGTGTGAGAGGTGTGGAACAGGTGTGTGAGGAAGTAGGAGGTGGGGGAGATGTGGGAAGTGTAGAAGGTGTGGGAGGTAAGAAAGAATGGAGGTGTGGGTGGTGTGGGATCAGGTGTGGGAGGAGGTGTGGGAGGCGCTTCTCAACACCAACCGACAGTGAGGGAAGCACAAGACACCGGGTCGAGTCCCACAGAGGTTAATGAGCCTGACAAATGAGAAGGTGTTTGTCAGGGCGTGTTGAGGAGGGGGGAGGGTTAAAGGTGCAGTTAAAGAGAATAAGTATATGTTAATGGATTACGACGATGGTTTAACCCTTTGACGACGATGACTTAACCCTTTGACGACGATGACTTAACCCTTTGACGACGATGACTTAACCCTTTGACGACGATGACTTAACCCTTTGACGACGATGATTTAATCTTTTGACGACGATGATTTAACCCTCTGACGACGATGATTTAACCCTTTGACGACGATGATTTAACTCTTTGACGACGATGATGAATGAATATTACTTAACTCTTTGTAGACCAACTGGACCAGATTATTGTCGAACAGATTTAAGTCTTAACAATATTTTATGTTTGCCTTTCAGAGATTATTATCATTATGGTGTTATTTGTGTACGTTGATAACTCGGGTCTTTAAGTATATAATAATGTTAGCTTGGGAAGTTTCAGATAAGCTCGACCGATTTTGAAAATGTTGTAAGAGTTGTAGAAACGTCACAAGTAAGAGGGTCTTATTATATTTTGTTACGTGACGAATCAGGGAGAGTCTTCGTGTTATAAAGATAGTGAGTCTTGACGCTGGATGAAGAGTCTTGTTCACCTGAAATACTCCTGAAACTTGTGATATTTTTACAGAATATTCAAAGCTTTACAATTTCTGATTAAATAGTCAGACTGGGGTTGTTAGAGCAGTGTGAGGAGGAGGAGGGGAGTGAAGGATGATGTGAGGAGCAGGGGTGTGAGGATGGGGGGGGTTGAGGAATGGTGTGAGGAGCAGGGGGGCGGTGGGGATGGGGGGAGTTGAGGGATGGGGTGTGATGGGGGGGGGAGAGTTGAGGAATAGTGTACCGGATATAGAAAATATTTTTTTTACCCGAACAAGTGTTTTTATAAGGCTGGAAAGATCGTGAGGGGAACTGAAAAGATGTTTACATAATTGAAGAAATCTTGATGAGACAAAGAAGGTTTTGACAATATAAAAAAGAAATCTAACCAGTGCTGGAGAAGGTGTCTGAATATACCTGGGAATGTTTACTGCAGGTTTCTGACTAAGTGTTTCCCATGACCAGAAGGCTTTACTAACAGTCCTTGGCTGAGTCTTAACACGGCCCTCTGACTCACGGTGGTATAGAAACTGGATCTGAAGATAACGTGAGCTCTTTTCTTCACTAAACTGAACGACAACTTCTTATCACTTTACCCACCAAGCGACAGTTCCGTGTTGTTAACCTACACCGGGTTGAAAGATCTTTGGGGTGGTTTTGAAGGTTTGAAGGTTCAATTAAACCTTCTCACCACTACTGTCACACACACACCTGTACCTCACACTAGTATGTAAAGGTGAGTCACCGGTTCCCCCTCCTCATCATCGCCTCCAACACCATCAACATCACAGAGTGTCAACACCATGAAGACTCCCTCATTTATCCTGGCTCTCTAAAGTCTCTCACCTTCTACTCATCATGGGAACACAATCACCCTCCCCACCAACCATTCCCTCACCCCCTTGAGTTCAGGTATGGGATGAGGAAAGGTGAGGGGAGAGTGAGGATCTGGGGGGAGGGGGGGGAGGGAAGTGTAACAAGGAGTGAGGATAAGGAGGGAGGTGAGGTGGAAGAGGAGAGAGGAGAGGTGGTAGAGGAGAGAGGGAGGAAGGTGAGGTGAGAATGTGTACAGAGGGAGGAGATAGTGAGAGTGGTGTGGGAGGAAGGGTAAGAGGAAGTGAAGATTGGGAAGGAGAAGGGTAGGAAGAAGGAAGAGAGAAGGGGTTAGGAGGTGTGAGAGGGTGCAGAGGGAGTGAGGGTGGGAAGGGAGGAGGAGGAGGAATTGAGGGGTGAGAAAGGAATGAGGGGAGAGGTGAGGGGGTGAGAAGGGAGGGAGGAGAGGTGAGGGTGGGAAGGGAGGAGGGAGAGGTGTTTGGTGGGGGTGGGAAGGGAGGAGGAGAGGTGAGGGTGAGAAGGGAGGAGGAGGAGATGAAGTGGGAAGGGAGGGTGAGGTGGGAAGGAAGAAGGAGAGGGTGAGGTGGGAAGGGAGGAGGAGGAGAGGTGGGGGTGGGGAGGGAGGAGGATAGGTGAGGATGGGAAAGGGAAGGAGGAGGGTGAGGGTGGGGAAGAAAGGAGGAGGGTAAAGGGGTGACACAAGAGGAGGAGGAGAGAGGGATGGGAAGGGGGAGGGAGGGAGAGGGTGGGGTGGGGAAGGAAGAGGAGGTGAGGGATGGGAAGGGAGGAGGAGGGATGGGGTGGGAAGGGAGGAGGAGGTGGGGGTGCTGGGAAAGGAAGGAGGAGGGTGGGGGGTGGGAAGGGAGGGAGGAGGAGGGTGAGGGTGGGAA